CCTCTTTCCACTAGTCTCCTGTTCATCTGTTCTAAAAGAAATATTAATATATTAAAATAAACAATTCTGGTTAAAAGAATACACATTTCATTCCCAACATGGTTTGAACTTATAAAAACCAAAAATAACAGCAGGAGTAACAAAATGAAAATGACATAACTGATTTATGTAAATGTTGCCAAACAAGAATTCAGATATAAAGACATTGATCTGTGTCGTGTAATGAGGTTCTCTCCATAGAAAAACAGTGTGGTACTTACTGTATCCACTGGAATACATCGTCGCATGGTGTATTTTGAGATATTTCTTCAWAAACATCTTTATTTGGCCAAATAATAACTGGACTGTTGCAGACCACAAGAACAAAGGAGTCCGACTTCACCTGGGAACGAAGGCTCTGAAATGTTCTCGAGACCGTCCTCTGCACATGCTCTGCTGTCAGAAAGTATAAACATGCAYAGTCCGTCTTTTACCATGAATTAACATGTATTACAAATATTTTTGAATGCTTCTGCTTTTAAAGTTAAGGCAGCTGATACTTTCCACATTGTTATCAAGTTTTGATTAGAAATAAAACTACACTGGAGCCTTAGTCTCAAAGTTATACTTCACTGCTTTGATTTTTTTATCCTTGCATTTAAAATATGGAATCGAGTTCTGTCCTTAAATTAACACTTTCCCACACTGACTGAAAGCAGGGCACAAGTTTTGGACAGCAGATTTATGTTCTCATGTTTGTCTCCTCAACATATTACTCCAGTCTTTGTTTTAACCTCAAGTGTTGAGCAAGACATAAGTTCAACAATGAAATTATGTCCGTGAACGTACCATCTGTGCTGTCCAGCAGGCATTTGAACTCCAGCGGTCCCTTGACACGAAGAATAATCATCGACTCGGAGTCTACAAGTACCTGAGACAACACACGAGACACCTCAGTACTTGGTTATTGAGACAGCTGCCAGTTTGTAATAACATCATCTCAATATTATTCATTGGTCATCCAGGCTGACTGCTAACAAAGTCACTGATTCTGAGCTGCTGCCAAATTATAATAATAAACAGCTAAGCCAAGAAACATAAAAAGAGACTCTTTTAGTTATTTATCAGTGCACATACCATGGTGGAGGTCACTTCAGCGGTAAAAAGGTGGTTTATTTAGCACTTTTTGTCAACACACAGGAAGCAGACATGTCGACTAAAAGAAATGCACAACGTGTCTCTGAACGCAGCTTTCTATTGGACCATTCAGACCCCGCCCACCCACGATGCATTCAGCGTACCTCGGAATTATTCCCGACTTTCACTTGAATAATAGTTTGACTAGTTTTACACATAATTAACAAATTAATTAATTAATTTTCAAATGGAAAATATAATAATGTATTTGTCTCACAGTTTGTTTAACAAACTATATTTTATTTCTTGTAAAAGCAGTCAACAAGAAAGGACAGAGCAGACTGTGCTGCAGATCTTCTACAACTCTGTTGTTCAGAGTATCATCTCTTCTGCTGTCATCTGTTGGGGTAGCAGCATCAGAACCAGGGACTTAAAAAGGCTAAAAAATTATTAAGAAGGCTGGTTCTGTTCTGGGAATAACTGTGGAATCTGTGGAGATGATGGTGTAAAGAAGGATTTTACATAAAATCAAAAACACTGTGAACAACCCTGACCATCCTCTTAATGAGACCGACACAAAAAAGAGTGCCTTCAGTCGAAGGCTTCTTCAATTTTGTTGAAATACAGACTGCTGCAGAAGATCTTTCCTGCCCACAGCCATCACCATCTACAATAACTCTTTATTGAAAAGAGTTACTACAAGTTTCCCTCTGGGATCAATAAAGTTTGTTTTTTTTTGAATTTGTGGTGGAAAAATCTTTTCCATGTCTGTTAAACTAAGTGCAGAAATATATGATCAAAAAAGTGTTTCACTACAATGGTCTCTGAGTAATTTTATTGCAATAAAAAGAGAGTCAACATGCATATAGCAATACAAGTTGAGTCTGGGGACACATCCCCAGTGAAGCATCTTTTATACCTTTAGCAGAAACCAGTCCCAAAACTGGTTATTTCCGACATGCAATGAGTGGATCTTTATCTGAGCAGCAAAAATTCCTAGTTTCAGTTAAAACTTGTTCTGTGGTCCTTAAACAGAGGAAAAACACCTTAGAACACAGTTCTACATGCCTGCAGATGGGCCGAAAAGAAAACCCTGGGGGTATTTGTAACAGTCCTGAGCAAAAAAAAAAAAAAAAAAAAGGTTAACACAAAGGAGCTCAAATCACACCACTGATCAGTGGGATCTTTGGCCAGAAGCACGTGAGGAAAAGAATCAATCATGAAAAGCTCAGATTGGACAGGACACAACGTGACAAAGCACATTGTGAGTGCATCCAGAACGAAACACGGTGGACAGATGATCATTAGGGTCATCCAAAAAGGAAATACCACAAGGATCATCAAAGGCATGAGTAACATGTAAGGTGCAGTGCAAATGAGATGGTTTCACAACCACAGCAGAAGGTGAAACTAAGGTCTGCGCTTGCTGCATGAGATTGACAGCTGGATTCAAAGGAATCCACCACTGGTACACACAGCAACTGCGAATGTATCAGTGCAGGGCAAGGAATTTCCACAGGGCTGCAAGAGAACTGCAGACTTGTAGGTGTGGATGTGAGATTTAGTCCAAATGACAAGATTAGGTCTATGACTAAGCTAATAGGACAATGTGGTGAAACAAGAAACTTATGCTCAACAAGTTCCGTCATCACCAAGATCTGTGCAAGACACAGGCTAAGAAAACATCTCATGCACTGTCACACTGGTGGAAAACAGAGGTTTGCTACTCATCTTCATGTTAGGAGCCTCAGAGGCCTTTATGACTAGTACTACTTTATTTATAAAGCTCTTTAAATCAGCCACAGCTGCAGATGTACATGTAATATGTATATACTACATACATATTACATATCTAAATAAACAACAACAAACAAACAAAATCAATTAACACACTACAATATGATTAAAACAAAACCAAAACTAGTCTTAGGATGTGCCAAAAGCCAGAGAATAGAAATGTGTATTTTTGCCTTGTCTTGGTCCTTAGAAGCCTTGGTTCTTGGAGGGTCTTGTCTGCGTGGTCCTTAATGGGGTCTGGGTCCATCACCCCGATTGCCACGGTTGTGCTTGTCTTCAGCCTGAGCTTGAACAGTTTGACCAGGATCAAGTGAGCTTTATTCTTCAGCTCACGTTTTGCTTCTTTCCTTTCTGTTGTCATCATGCAGTTGTTGGATGTGTTTGTCATGTTTTTTGAGTTCAGTCAGTTGCGTATCTTCAGGGCAATCACTGTTGGCTATCAGCAGTGGGTGAGAGCAGTCCATTCATGAAAACCTGACAGGAATGTTTTTCCCGACTCCTCTTCTGTCCCCCAGGCTCTCTGGTTTGCCCAAGCCAGAGTGGTGCTGATGTTTTGTGGGGCCCAGGTGTAGGCTCAGAATGTGTTTAAGCTCAGGCCAGGTGGGCATTACTTTGCTGCAAAAGTCAGTTAGGGTAAAGGGAAACTTCTCCCCTTCATGTTGAACTGGGAACAGATGGGGGTATTTCCAGAACATATGGTCACTTTGTGGATGGCAGCATTTTTTTTGGTCCTTTACATTGGGTTGAATTCTTTTATTTTAATTGATATCATTTTTGTTGTTTGTGTTCAGTATATGAACAAAAGGGAGGAATTGTGAAGGAAAATGAAATCATCACCCATGTATTTCAGTTTTGAATGCATTTTAATTATGTTTCTTTTTATCTTTCTGATTGTGTTTTTTTTTTCAGACTGATTATGAACTTGTCACATGCAGGACTCACACTGGTGTCGTTTTCTCTTCTTTAACACCTATAAACATTTCAAGTGCTTTTTAATATTTTCTCACTCAGATGTACTTTTATTT